GAACAGGAAGGCGGAGCAGACCCGCCGACGGCGCGTGCCCGTGGAGAACAGGAGGCGAGCACACGAGCAGGCGGCGTCTGCCTTTCCGTCCAGTGGTCCACGCCGGCTGCAGCTGCCGACGCCGGGCACCGCAGGCAGCACACTCACCACCGTGGGGTTGCCGCTGCTGATCAGCTGGCTGACTTCATGGAAAATGCTCTTGCAGTCGATGGACTTATCGAGCGAGCCCCGTTTCACGATCACCGCGACTGCCAGCAGGATCTGCTCCCGGACGTACTTCTGGAGGCTGCAAAACACAAAAATCAAGTTGAGACTTTACATACACCTGATACAAAACACCCCCAAGTTCCTCCCTGTGCCTGACGCCCCTAATAGCATGCTTACACCTGAGTACAGTGTAGCCTGCTGGTGATGCACAGACTCCAGAGCCAGAAGACCTGGGTGCGAATCCACACCCCACAAGCAATTGGCTATGTGACCCTCGGTGAGAAACGCCTAGAGCCTCCCTAGGTTTTCTTGGCCGTGAAACGGGGATAATGGCAGCATGTGGTCACAAGGACCCGGTGTCCTGAAAACTGTGCCCGGTACATACCGGCACTAAGCTGCTCAGGCAGTGTAGGCAAGTGTGAGTCAGTGCACTAAAAGCCAGGTCAAGAGTCTACCAGTGAAGAGAGAAATTCTGACCTCATCTCCAACGAGCAGTATGACCTGAAACCCATTCCCTCTGACGTGGAAAGGCAGGCAGCATGCTGCCATCGAGAACACAGATTCTAGAACCCCTGGAGAACCTCGCCTCCAAGCCCTGGCCCTCGGCGGGGGGAACATGCTACAAAGCCCATTAGACCACAAGGGCAGAGAAGTTCGCTGCCTTTCACAACCATGTCATAAAGGTAAGGTTCAGAAAACCTAACTCTGAACTTCACAATCCAGCCTCTACAATGCCACAGGGCACGACCACCAGGTGCCCTTGGGATAAAACCCAAATCCCTTAACCTGGCTGACGAGCGGTGGGACACCCCCAATTCACCTGCTGTCCAACGTGGTTGTAACAGAGCTTTCTTTTACTCTGAGAAGTGTCCCCATTTGGACATAAATGACATGGTGACCCACTCCGAAGGTGCCTCCTAGCTGGTACCTGCTCCCCTCCCTCGCGCCCCTTCCACGTGGACTCAGAACCACAGACACCCTGAACGCCTTCGCTTCCTGGCACCAGGCTCTCCCCTTTCCAGGCCCCCTGCCAAGACCACGATGCCACTCTGTGCCGACGGCATTCCCTGAGCAATTCTCTGACAGTTCACTGTGAGAACACGAGGACTCTGTCACCAGGGGTTGAATCGTCTCCCCGATCGGCCACCAGCTCTGCCTGTTTCTGCAGCCTGCGGGAACGAGCACCCCCTGCCACGTGACAGGCATCTACTGGACCCGCGTCCCTGTGTCCAGACTGAAGTGGAAGGACCTTGTCACAACACAGAGCTGACACGTACGCTAAGCCCACAAGCACAGAGGTCCTGCCCTGGAGAGCAGTGCGAGCGGGCCGAGGCACGCTCCGTGCTTCTGGGGGACACGGCGGTTTCAGACACGCGGACCAAAGGAAACGCACAGAGAGCTGAGCGCTCAGGCCAGGCGCGGACACAAAGCTGTCAACACCTACGCTAACAAGAATCAAAACTTACTGGGAGAACGAATAACGACAGCTAACAATTATCGAGTGCTTATGACATGCGATACTTTAACTTCGCAAAAATTAACACATTCAATCCTCACAACAATCTTTAGAGTAAAATAATGTTACTCATTCTAATAATCAGAAAATTAATGCACAGGGTGGTTCAATAACTTGCCCAAGGCCACAGAGTCAGTAAGTGGCAGAAGCGGGATTCGGTCCCCTTCCCAACTATGACGTTATACTGCTTGCCGCTTTAAAAAAATTATCCTCTGCTTTCATCCTATACAGATTTTGTCTTCATCGGGAGAAAAAAGTAGGAAAAAAAGAAAATTCTGTGCACGAAGCGGGAGGTGCACAATGGCACGTATGTGCAACGTGACACAGCCTCTGGGACTCGGCCTGTGCACAATGCCCAGTCGCGACCCGCCTCTAGCCCACACTGTGGCACGTTCTCCAAGATGCAGATGTCTGCAGAGGTAGATCATTCTAGATTAAGGAGACCAGAGAGGCATGGCAACTGAGTACAACGTATACCCTGTGGTTAAATCCTGGATCAAAAAAATGACCTACAAAGGAGGAAAAGCATAGAAGTGGCATTATTCAGACGCCTGGGGCAATCGGCATGTGGCATCAGAGTCACGTGGGTAACAGAGACGTGGCAGCTCCACCCAAGTACCGAGGCGATGCCCTCAGGGGACACACGCTCTGAGACGGCCAAGGGCAGACGCAGACACGCGCAAGGGAAATCAGACGTGACCAACGGCAGTTGGGCCTCTCCTAGGGCGCGTGCATACTCACGGTGCCACTGTTCACGAGAAAATACACAAGGGGACAATTTCGCTGGGGAGGCCTACAACAACTCTAAAAGAGCTTCTGAACTAATCAATAACATTTAAGGGTGAGATCACATGTTTAAGTCTACCAAGAGACACAGACTGCAGTGCTCCCCATGCTGGGGGGACTGTGATAAATGAGCAGCACCAGGGCAAGCTGGTGTCACATCCATGCCCTCATCAAAAACCAAAACCTGAAATAAAGAAAAAGAAAGGTTTGAAACTGGGGCCTCTGTTTCTCATTCCGTTCAAAGCAGAAGAAATGAGCCATTCCGTCTGCTCACACGCGCGTGCGCCCTCCCACCTACAGAGTGAGCAGCCGAGCCCGGCGGGCTGACACATAAACCTTGGCTTTGCCTCTCGTGCAGTTTCTACATGTAAAGCCATCAGCACCCGCCGCGTGCTGAAGCCACACCGTGTTCCTACTGAATGTCACTGACCGAAGCTGCCGGCGAGCTTAGGGGGACTGAGGATAGAACAGCGTGCGCTGAATCATCCTGAAGTCCGTGCACGTGCCCCGCCGTCATGTGACCCTCCCAGGACCAGCATCTCTGAACACACGCCACCTTCCCAGTGACTGCGGCAACCAGCATCCGCGCAGTGAGTGCGGACCGCGCACACGCGACATGCACGGCCTCTCCTTACAGGAAGGTTCGCTATCCAGGGGGCTGGAAACTGAGTCTCCCTGGAAGCTGTGTGGCTGGTGACTGTCCTCGTGTTTACAGAAAAGACCACAGAGCAGCAGGTGTGCGCAGTCTCGCAGTGCTGTGACACGGTGTGTGCTGTGACAGGCGGCTGCGCTTCCCTGGCCTCAGCCTGACCCCTCTCCGTGGGGGCCATGGAGACCAGGTGCTGTCCCATGCAGCCCTGCCACAGCCCTGCCGCAGTCCTCGGCTGCCGCAAGGCGCCCGCTCGTCCCCCGACACTCCCCAAGCTGACGGCCGGCCGAGGGAGCCCGCGGCTGGCTTTCGCTCAAACCGCCACCTTCGCACTGAGCAAAGGCACGAAGCCAACGTCCAGCGCGCTCCTTCCGCAGCAGCGACCCGAGCCAGGCGAGCTCAGGCCGCGGAGCGCAGAGCCCGCCCCGGCCCGGTGGACCCCTCCGGCACCTACTTGGGCCTCTGCAGGACGTAGGTGAGAAGGGACGTTCGCAGCGACTCGATGCTGCCTCTGTCCAGCAGGATCCACTCGCGGACGACCGCCTCCATGATGGCCGTGGCGGCCTGGAAGAGCACGTAGTCCACTTTGCTCGTCTCTGGGGAGGAGAGCAGACACTTCCTGTGAGCAGCACTCCACCTCCCCGACGCCTCCGTTGGTTAATTTAAAACAACTTTTCAGACAAGGAACGGGACGGTTACCTGCTCTTTTTTTATCCAGTACCACAAAGAGGTTAGTCCCTCTCAGAAGACACCTCAGGCAGGTGGCAGCTAATCACCGATCACAACTGTCACAAACTTTCCTCACCTCTCTTCAACTGTTACTTCCAAAGCATGAGGAACTAAAAAATAACACAGCTTTAAAAAAATAAAAATAAAGCAATCAGAACATTTTCTAAGAGATTCTCACCCTGTGCAAAACAGAGCTTTGTATCTGCAGAATCCCTTAATAAGCCAGTCCTTGATTGAACATTACTATTTGTGGTGAGCCATGCTGTTAAAATATTTCAG